TCGGTTTGCTAAAAGTTAGTTTAGTAAAGACCTAGAATTCTAGAAAAATGTTATTTTTTCAGATGAAAGTAAGTTAAATATATTCTATTCTAATGGCCACAAGTTGGTTTGGCAGAAACTTGACACTGAGTTTCAAACTCGACATGTGAGGCCTCCTGTAAAATACCGACATGGATTGTCCAAGTTTGGGAGTACACGTCATGGAATGGCGTTGGAAACTTAACCTTTATTGACAATATTATGAATGCTGTACAATAGTTCAACATTTTGCGACATAATCTAACAAGTAGAATGAAAATCTGAAGATTAAAGACGAATTTACCTTCCAACAGGACAATGACGGCCAAGCACACACCAAATAAAACAAATGAATGGATGCTGTGCAATGTCCCCAGAAAATTGAAAACGCCACCACAGTCACCGGACATAAATACCATAGAACACCAATGGTACCTGTTGGATTTGAAAGTAATAAAAATAAAATTTCTTTAAAAATTAATTAAAAGAAACTTTATGAGAGGAACGGCCTAAAATTGGACAAGACATAACTCAAAATTTTGTTTTGTCGATACCAAGAAGATTCCAGGATGTCATAGATGCTAATGGTATGATGACAAAATATTAATATATAGGCGTTGATGACCAGGTTTTTGATGACTAGGGTTTTAGGCCTTAAAGCCTAAGCAAACAAACACAATATTAATAAATATCCAGTTCGTGAAGTAAACCTCAAATTAAAGTTTGGCAATACTTTTTTTACCATGTTGAAGTGATTTTTTTTAATTAATTAAATTAATATTTTTTTTTATCCCCATTATGTATTTTTCTAAATCTTTTATTAAATAAAAATGTTTAGCAAATCAATTTATGATTCTTTTACAATGAAACCTGAAAAAAGTTAAGTATGCCAGTACTTTTTTGATCCACTGTACATAAATAAAACAGATTAAATACTACCATTGATCAGTATAAATTTATGTATTTTTAGAAGGTGTATTTTCCAAATTATTTGAAATTAAATATTATTTCCTGAGGCATAAGCTTGTGGGACTCAGTTTGAGAACCACTGATCTAAAATGTATCATTGGAGACATATCTACTCAATTAAAAATTAAAGCATCTGATGTTTATTTACAAAATCAGTCTAATCAACATTCCGAGATTCTTCACTTATTCAAAATGTTTTAAAAAATAAGTAAAAACAGTGATCTATCCAGCTTTATTTTCTTTTGTTTGTTCCCAAAATATTACCATAATTTATAAATACAATTCTTAATTATTTGATCAGTTAGCCTGATTCTTAGCTAATTGATGCATAAATTTACATTTTTAGGCCATTTAACGTAGCAATAATTTTTAATTTTATGGTTTAAATTTATCTTTAACAACAGAACATTATTTCAAACACTACAACAAAAAAAAAAATTAATCCTGTTGGTATAACTAGTAGATATAATGATTTGCTGAATATGTATACATGATATATAATTGTATTCAAAAAGATAATACAAAGGTTCCTCTGTGCTCTTTATGATATGATTCTTTTTTTCTTATTCTCTTTATTGGTAATATGGAATTTTTTATTATATAGTTATTATTAGAATTAGCATATAAAAATATATTTATTTAAAATTTTATTAGTATTAATTTTATGGTTAATGTATCTGTCAAATTTCGTTATTGTCTGCATAATCACAATTTTATTGTCATTGTTTGGTTTCATTTATGTTAATTTTTACATATATGTGTAAATATATTTATATTTTTTAACATAAAAAAATTCCTAATGAAAATGTATTGAGTAAAAAATAATAATCATATATTCGCCATTCTTATTCCTAATTGACTTGCTCATCATTACAAATTTTTATCATTTATCATAATAGTGACATTAACTCCATTTATTGAATATATATATATATATATATATATATAAAAGGGAGAATTTTTGGAAAAGCTTATGCTTTTTCTTTTTTAACTCATAAGAAATATTGCACTTTATTCATCACTTAATGAAAATATGTTTAATGTATCCACTTATTCATTCATTTGAAATGAGATTATATCTCAAGCAATGATAAATAATTAAAATAAGTGTGATATCATATTAACAAACTGCTAAATGTTTAATAATTACAAAACTGAGCATCATAGATTCACACTACATTTTCATAGAAAAATACATCTCAGGAATCCCAGGAAATGATATTGAAAAATAAATTTGTAGATCTTATTGTTTATAATCTATTAATATCAAAGTATTATAAATTTATAGTATATTTTAAATTAATTTATATTTTATTTTTACTGTTTCATTAATAATACTGTATGGTAAACTTTAAAAAGTTTATGATTTTGAATTTCTCTATTATTGATATTTGCCTATGTTGTCTTAATTGATTCAAATGGAAAATAAAAATACAAAAGTATAAGAATCAGTGAACTGCATTCAATAAAGACTTAAATTAAATACGACATCCCTCTTTCATTGCACATGACCAATCTTTCAACCACTTTTCTTATTATTATACAAAAGTAACAGAAACAGCTTATTATTCAAAACATAATAGTAGGTACAATTTAATATAGTAGGTACAAAAAATACTGAAAACATGTATTACTTTCATTTCTTTAACCTACTTTTATATAATTGTAATAAAATTAAGAGTTTTAAGAGTTAATTAGTTTTTAGAAATACAGTAAGCATATTTTTTGAATTTTCATAATTTTTAATTTTTTTTTTACTTCATGAAGCATCTATTATTATATACAAACAAATTTTAATTATTGTCAGTACAATCACAAGATTATTGTCATTGTTTGGTTTCACATGTATATATATATATATATATATATATATATATATATATATATATATATATATATATATATATTATTCTGTTTTTTTACAGATCATCACTTATATTTAAGATACAATTAGAACCCTTTTTGGAAACAGGTAAAAAATAGTTTCACTTTTTCTAATCTTTGGGTTCATACTTAAAGTATAATTTTTATTTTCGATATAACACTAACCTGTATAAATATTGAATGTAATATAATAACTCTATAAGACTAATTATTGTCAAATTTATTTTTCAAACCTTACTTAAAATTTAAAATCTGTTTTATATATACAGAATCTGATAATGCATTGTGAGCATTGAATTATTGTCAATGTTTCAATAATTGTAAACACATATCCCTTACTGCCTAATTCATTTATATACCTAAATGTTATCAGATTTATTATTCCTTATTGATAACATTGCTTTAGTACATATACACAATTCTTTTATTTGTCCGTATTATATTTAAAACTAGAATTTCTAGCTTTTCACTCACCCCATTCCACATTCATTCAGCCATTGATATGTTTTTAGAGTGATATTCTTAATTAGAGGTTGTGTTTTTTTATTTTATTTTCTTAGTATACTTGTTCTTCAAAATTGTCAGTATTTTATACTACGAATAAAATTACACATTTTTTTACTTCTCATAAAACCTTACCTTATAAGACTACTCTCTATAGAACAAATATATGAATGATAACAGTGTTATTAATTCACAATAATAGGAAAGTGTCCTATTTTGAATGTAATAAATGCAGTATAGAATAATTTATAATGGTTTGTTTTATTAAATTTTAAATGCCTCTTATGAAATGTTTCCAAAATAAAAACCTCTAAGAAGAAAAAAAAATGTTGGTATATTTTTATAAATATTAATATACTTTATTCATTATTACTTCTCCAATGAGCAACACGTATCAATAATTCCAGCCTTCCTAGTAGGTTCCTATTTTTCACACTTTTACCATTAATTATGGTTTAGTTAGAACTAATTTTGTAATTTTGCAGGTTCTTATGTTTATATCATATTGATGTAACATGTCCCTTTTACATTTATTATAATTTTTTGTCATTAATTTGTAAAGAAAAATACTTTTATTAAACCTCTAAGATAAGTATTGCCATGAGGTAACACAATTAAATGTACTGAAGAGTTGAAAGTATTATAGCTTGAGCATGCCAAGGAGATTGAAGAAGAGCTACTGACAGCATGAGTGCATACACAGAGGAGGGCCATTACCAACTTACCACTCTCCAAATAATTTGAAAGAAAATAAAACATAAAATAATACAAAAGGTTTGCCACGAATTTGATAAAATTAATTTTAAAAAGTTATTGCTCTATATATGTATGTGTATATATATATAATGCTTTCTATATAAAAATATTTAGAAATTATAAATATAATAAACCTTTTCAAAAAATTCTGTCATACCCCCTAATATGAAAGCTGGGTACACCCTTGACTAACTGAGTAGTGAGGCAGCAAGAAGAATTAAAATTTATGAAATCTAATTGTTTTAACCCAAGAAAAAAATGTATACGAAGGCTCACATTCACTTTTGTTATAGATTTATTTTGTATCTCAATTTAAGAATATAATATTTTTTTAAATTAAATTAGTGAATTGGTGTTGATAAGTCAGTAAAAAAAACAACAAAAAAAAATAAGAGAAATATCATTTTGATGTATTGAGGCTTATAATAAAAGGTTACGCTATTTTTATGTTGAAGATATTAGCTAGAATTTAATTTTATTCTATGAAAAAAATAAAGTTAAATATAGTTAGCATTAATGATAGATTTCCATGATATGAGGCTGAATTAATGTTATATTGTGTGATATTAATAATTAATGTAATAATATTAATTAATTCTTTTTTTTTGCAGTGATTTATTCTATATAAATTTTCTGTAACTGCTTTCTAATTCTGATATGATATATGATATGAAATTATTTTTTGAAGAACAAGTAACATTTTTATTTTATTACTTTTTTTTTTAAAGAAAGACAGACATTTTCAAGTATGTAAAAATAATAAAAATATTAACTTTATATCAACAAACTATTTTTGTAACAAAGATAGTTTACATAAGCATAATTGAAAATGCTTATCTTTCATTGTTATATAAAATAAAAATGTACATCTATCTCATAACAAGATATGTACTACAAAATGACATTATAACTAACATGATTAAATCAATGGCCGAAGATGTAGCATGGTTCAAAGTCGCTTGATATCCTTGATCCGTAACGTGTATTTTCCAACCCAGGTTATTATGAGTATAACACTAAAAAAAAATTATATAGATGATAGGAAATTAATACAGCCATAAAAAAATCAGAAAAACAAATATTGTTAAACCTCGAATTAGTGGAATAAAGAATAGCGTTATAGAACTTGTATTTCATTAATAAACAATTATACTTACATCAAGAGAAAAAAAAATTAAACAATATACTTAAATACAGAGAAGTGAAATAAATACTACAAAAAATTTAAATGAATGGAAAAAATAAAAATTGAAATATAGTGGGCAAAGTATTCGTACATCCCTGTTTTTTGGCCGAAATGGTTCTCTATATTTTTTTTAACTTGAAATAACAGCAGATATCAATTATAAACTTCACTTTAAGTTAATTTTATTTAGTGACAAAATTTAAAATCTCATACAATTTTTATAACATTAATATTTCAATACTTTGTACACAAAAAAGTATTCATACAATATAGCAAGTATTAATAACACAATAATTTTTGCTATAAAAACAGTGTTTTAATGTTATATTAATAATCCATTACTCCAGAGAATTAAACGATAAAACTATACAAGAAATTGCTTGTTCAGTTAAGTAATAAGGAATATTTCTTTTGCAATTGGTCCAAAGAATTGAGTTCTCATCTTAAAGACGACTTTGTAAAACATTTTGAATAGGGTTTAAGTTTGCGGAATATTGGAAAAAAGTTTGGACTACCTCATACAACAGTGCATTACATGAACAGTCCATTATAAACAAATTTAAAAATGGATCAGTAGACAATAAAACACGTACAGGATGAAAATTATTATTGATAGTGCAAGAATCTTGTGAACTTGTATGCACAGTAGCAAAAATCACAAATTAAGAGCTGGAGAGGTTTCGGCTAACATCGTGTCAGCTCAGGGGAAATCTTTAACACCTCAAACCATGAGGAATAGACTACATGAAGCTAGCTATAGGAGTAGAGCAATAAGAAAAAAAAAAACGTTTATAATAGGAAAAAACAGATAAACTGAGTGGAGTTTGTCCAAGAACATATAAATAAACCCTAAACATTTTGGGAAAATGTGTTGTTTTCAGATGAAAGCAAGAATAATATATTTGGATCTGATGGAAAAAAAATATGTTTGGAGGAAAAAAGGAAAAGCATTTGAACCCCTAAATCTAGAACCCGTGATGAAGCACGGAGGAGGCAATTTTATGATTTGGGGTTGTATGAGTGCCAAAGGAGTTGGTGAAATAGCCATTATTGAAGGGATTATGAATGCTGACAAATATGAATAAATAAAAGAGCACAAAAGTTAGGAATGGAGGACACATATATGTTTCAGCAGAACAATGCTCCCAAGCACACGGCCGAACGAATAAAACGAAAGAATGGCTGCTATATAATTTTCACAAAACCCTTAAAACATCTCCACAATCACCGGATCTTAATCCAATTGAAAATTTTTGGGAATTGATTTGAAAATCCAAAAACATTCTGATTCCTTCAATAATGACTTAATAAACTATCTTAAAAAGGCTTGGCAAGAAATTGGACCAGAGGAGACCAAGAGGCTCGTGGAATCGATGCCAAGAAACTCAATCCTGTGATAAAAGCGAAAAGGTACCCAACAAAATACTAAAATTAATTGAGACTGATATTTATTATATTTTCTTTGGATTAGTTAAATATACGAATATTCTTTTGCTCTTCATATTTGAATATTTTTCATACAATATGCGTTATAAAATTTTACTTTTTTGTACAATTAATGTAAAATGAAATTTCTAATTGTTATCTATAATTGCTTCATGTTGAAAACATAGATAAAAAGATTTTTTACTAAAAAATATGGTGTAAGAATACTTTTTTTGGTCACTGTAAATAGAAACTGTTAGAAGTATGAATTATCAGCTATTTCTAATATAATTATTCTTTTTTCTCTCTTTCTGATAATAGTTGGCCTAATATGAGCTGTGCAATTTTAACTATCTTTGAACAGTTCTGCCTGCAGTATTCCAAATCTGCACATGCTTAGAGGATTATTTAATTCATAAAAATTAGGATATACAAGATTATTTAATGTAGTTCTTCTGGCCAGAAATATTTCTTTTGTTCTATAACCTTTTGTTATTCTTAGGAGACATCATCCCAGAATAAAGTTATTTTTCTATTTCTAATTCTACAATGGGGCCCTTACATACAAAGTATGTCTTAAGCCCACAAAGGTATTGCATCACCAAATAATGTGGTGAGATAATCTACAAATAGAGGCCCAGCTTGAATAAGCTTGAAATGAAAGAGATTTTTATTTAATCAACAGTGACCAGCACATAGTCAGTAACTTCCTAAGATTTGTCTGGTCCATTTGAAACAGAGCCTTACTTCTTATCTCACTAGAGCCACATAGAATTAACATACAGGGTATTTTAGGGTTAAATGGCTGAACTGCAAAAATGAACTAAGGGCCTCAAAAAAAGAAAAAAAATTTCTCAGAAGGTATGTCCGCAACCGCTTTGTTTAGGAGATATTCACACCTAAATTTTTTCGTTGTTATGAATTATTTATGTTATATGAGATAAATAAAACCCATTTATTTGTTCTAACTACTTTAATAATTAAATGGAAACATTAACAGAGAACAGAAGAGGTTAATTATCAGAAGCTAAAAGTTAATTATTCCTATCAATGGATTGGCCGTGCACGCTCTCCACATCAGACACCACTGGATTTTTTTGTTTGGGTGACATTAAACAAAAAGTCTATGCAAGTCTGGTCAATGAACTTAATTCCTTACGAAGAAGGATAATTGAATATTGGGTAACAATAACACATATCCAGTGCCGTTCTACCACTGCTGCTGTTGAAGGAAGATGCCGAGCCTGTCTTAATGCTCAAGGAAATCACTGTTAACAACATTTAATTTGAATTTAATGTTTACCTTTAATTAATAAAGTAGTTGGTATAAATGAATAAGTTTTATTTACTTAATATAACGTAAATAATTCATAACAATGAAATTCTTTAGGTGTGAATATCTCCTAAACAAAGCGTTTGCGGACATATCTTCTGAGGAAATCACTTTGAACAACGTTTAATTTGAATTTAATGTTTACCTTTAATTAATAAAGTAGTTGGGATAAATAAATAAGTTTTATTTACCTAAAATAACGTAAATAATTCATAACAACAAAATTCTTTAGGTGTGAATATCTCCTAAACAAAGTGTTCCTTCTGGGGAAATTTTTTTCTTGTTTTGAGGTCCTCAATATTTTCAATTTGACCACTTAACCCTGAAACACCCTGAAGAATGGAGCTGCCTCTTGTTTTGTCAAAATCACCTGAAATTATTGTCATAAGCCATCTTGATCATTATTTTTTCTTAGCACAAGTCTCTTCCACATATGATCAAAGTTCTTATCTACCACCTTATTAACTACTTTATTTCCTATGATTAAAAACCAAGCTCCTATTAAACTCAAACTTAGTTAAGATAAATGTGATTGTTAACAATATCACTGCAATCTTCTGCAAATCTTGAATAAGAAATGTCACAATATAGTGCTTCTATTGTCTCCTGGCTGTCAATATAGAATATTATAAGTCTTTTCTCCAGCCATTTGGCGGTAAATTTTAGTAATAATCTGAAATATATTTACATAATGGGATGGAAATATCACCTAGCGATAAATTTTCTTCTTAATAACCAAATAGTTCATTATAGCTAATAGATTAGTTGGCCAATGGAATACCAGATAATCAAAGTTATTCTTTAGAATTAAATCATTGCTATTATAATAAATACTAAATGAAATTATATATGTTTGAGAAATAAATTATTTGCTACCTGGTAATAAAGTATGTTTGGACTCTCCTCAGGAACAGTCCAATTAAGAACGGCTGCCTCACCAGGCTGGCAATTCAGTTTCAGAGTCAGGAAGAATTCAGTGAAAGTTTCGAATTCCGATGACTTATCTACTGTTTTATGTTCCCATTCACAGTAGTGGCCAGCTAAATCAATTAAAATGTAATATTCTTACATATACATTTTTTAATAAAAAAAAAAGGTAGCTTTTAGGATTAGAGACTAACATTAAATTTTAACTACAACTTTTTTGTAGAAGTTATAGATAAAGTATAAACTATTGGATTTTATCTAACAAATTATAAAATAAAAATTTTTTCACATATTATACACAATACCTAGAGCCTTTTCAGTGATATTTAAACCACTTAGTGCTTCATTTTCGTATCCCATAACTTCTGAATGACCAAAATACTTAAAAAGTTAAATATAAAAATTTAGATAGGAAAAATACCTAGTGTTTCTGCTTGGAATCAGTTTAATAAAATATTTGGAATGAATTCAAAAATAGGACGTAAAGCCTGGGTTAATGGTACATATTGTATAGCACATTATAGTAACTACCACTAATTAACATCATGGTAGCAACCAATTTGGTAGCCTTTTTTTGTTTCTTTTAGCTGATGTTGAAACTTTTCACATATTATATTTATTATACTTATACTAAAAAAACATGAGTTTTAATTTCCCATATTTAACATTTCATAAGTACTGATGGATTTAGGAAACATATCATCGATACATCTGCTCTCTCATTCTACCCTCTTGATTTTTAAAAGAAACAGAATTACACATAAAAATACATTTAGACAAATTAATCAACTTTTTCTCAATTAAAATAGAAATAAATTAATACAATATATATCATCAGTTTATTGCAAGATGTCGGATGGTCGAATGAACAATGACTATGGCATAGGAAAAAAAAAAAGTTTATTGCAACAATTCACTAAGTACATTTTTGATCAAACTCAACTTTCATGTACATTTTTATGACTTTTATCTAATTTATCAACACAAAACCTTAGCAATTGCAGCAATACTACACCAGCCCTTTTATGTATCAAATATAGTTCTAATCAGTGCACAATAATTTGATTTCACAGGAAGGAGGGAAAAATCATCAAAGTTATTTAATTTTATGAAATGTCACTACTTTTTGCCATAAACCTAAAATATTAGGAAGAAGAAGATAAACTCATAATAAATAAGAATTCTTACTAGCAGTGGGATATGGGTAACCTTCAGCATCATAACTAACACCAGCAAAAACTCGCTGTTGTCTCTGCTGTTCTTCGCTCCTTTGGCCGAAACCTCCTTCCCTACTATCAGTAATGTAGAAAGGATGGTATTTAGCTGGGTTTGTTCTATCATCACCTAAATTAAAAGAAAATTCTGTGTTATATAAGTATGCAACATTGCTTTTTGTTTCTAAATAATATCAATTTTATATAATAACGATAACATGTTATTAAAGAGATTTAGTCAAGGAGTTATGATCGTTTTAAAATGTCTTGTAAAATATGCTCTCTTGAAAAGTAGTATATTGTTTGGTTCACTCTTTTTACTGAAAACTGAAAATGTATCAGTATTATCTATTCAGCTATTACCAAACATCCAATTACAATATCTATGATTGCACTCCTTGATATATTTTTGTACTCTTGGGTAAGGGAACTCCCATGGGATACACTCAGTCTAAATAGAAAGGGGTCCTAACTCTGAAATGAGTTAGAGAAGAACAAACGTGACAATTCAACATAACTAACCAGACCACCTACTTGCATAAATGGGTCATAAATGATACTTATTTATTAACCTTTTAGATGCGTAAATCCAAAATAATGGCTCGGGCCGGCTATGACACCAGTGTGCAATGCCAATATAGTGGCTCTGGAAATACCATACCCCTGGCACGCAGAGCCAATATATTGGCATGAGCTTTTTATCGTTTAGTTTCACAAAACTAATATTCCGGCTCGTTATAGTGCTCTCTACTGGGTACCACATGAGTCATACCCTTTAGGGTGAGGGTTCTGACCTCGAACCTTTGTGTACCTGCTTCTACCCCTATATCACTTTTCTCTAGTCTTTTGAACACAATTTAGCTCTAAAACTAACAGTAGTTGGTAGTGTTTTGAAAGTGCGAAAGTTGAAAATGAGTTTTACATTTTTTTTTTTAATTGAATTATATGTTATAAAATTTATCGTACAATGAAACGTTTTTAAAATTTTTCCATATCAAATATTATCAGAAATTGGTAGGTAATAACTAAATTTCAAATGAGGAATAAAAAATAATCACACTATATAAAAAAAAATTAGAATATATATAAAAATAATGTAAATGTTACAGTATACTGTAAAAGTAATGTAAGACAATTAATAAATTATAAAATTAAAAGAAAGTTTAAAAAAATACCGTTTATTGAAACATGAGCGAACATCATATTAAAAAAGAAAAATGTATAAGTAAGTTATCAAGAAAATCATATTTTAATGTGAAAAGTGCAAAAAGACAGGAGCAATTCAATAGATAAATCCTGTGCACAGAGGGTTGGCTAGACCTTCAGTAACCTGCGCACACGGGATCTGACCTTAATTTAGGCTCCGCGCAACTAAATGTTAAGTACTATACCCCATATCATCTTCATGAACAATACAGACAATTTTTAATTTCTCCATTATCTATATTATTACTTATACTTAAACATATGTAATAAAGAATATACAGTACCTCCTTCAACCATAAATGTGTATGTTTTCCCTCTTTCAACATATATTTCAGGTATTAGAAGATCATTAATGTACCATGCAATGCCCCAGGATGGATGTCCTAACAAAAAAAAAGATTTAATAGCCTCTTATGTTTCTAAACAAGTTATTTTTGTTATTCTAATTATATTAGTTTTTACAGAATGTTAACTCTTAAAAATTTCAGTACTTGAATAAGATTTAATTTGTATTAAAGGACATGAATGTGGCATATAACACATTAAAAAGTATTAGTTTTGATTAGATAAAAAAAAACCGTTATCTGCAATTTAAATAAACCCTTCCCACAAATCCATTATAATTCAATGGATATTATAATATAATATCTTCCATAGGCAATATCTGATATATGGCTGAAAGCTGGAAAGATATTCTCCGAGACAGAAGGATTTCTGCTCGCCATCCAAGACCAAGTTATTGCTACTAGATCATATAGAAGGCATGTTCTTAAAGACGCAACAACTACGGATAAATGTCGATTATGCTCAGCGACGCTGGAATCAATCCAACATGTCACAGGTGGGTGTGGAGTGTTGGCTGGCACCGAGTATCTCCAGAGGCATAACAATGTGGCTAGAATTTTTCATCAGGCTCTGGCGGTGAATTTCAACTTGTTAGATGACAAAACTCCATATTATAAGTACCACCCAAATAAACTCCTCCAAAAAGGTAGTCTCAAGCTCTACTGGGATGAATTGATAATAACTGACCATACTGTGCGTCACAATAAACCAGACATCCTTCTGATAGACATGAGAGAGAAAAGAGCAGAGCTTATTGATGTCGGGATCCCCAATGATAATAATATAAGCTCCACTGTTGGAGAAAAACTGAGAAAATACCAGGAACTGGCAATCGAACTGAAGAAATTATATCATTTGGGGAACGTCACCACCACTCCACTTATAATATCTTCCAATGGATTGATACCAAAGACAGAACAGAAGGATTCTTGTTTGCTATTCAAGAACAGGTAATAGCCACAAAAGCATACAGAAAACATATATGTGGAGAGGGCATCGATGACTTATGTTGCTTATGCAAAAAGGCAGTTGAATCAATTCAACATGTAACATCGGGATGCACAATACTTGCGGGTAAGGAATACTTGCAGAGACACGTGCATTAAGCTATGGCTCAGAAAATGGAACTCGTCGATAAATATTGTACGTATTATAAATATCATCCAGAACCAATTATCTCCATGCGCAATGTAAAGGTGTTCTGGGATCAACCGATCCTGACGGATCACACCATCCTCCACAATAGACCAGACATTCTTATAGTTGATAAAGGTAAGCAATCTGCGTTTATCATTGAGATTGGAGTTCCTTCTGATGATAACCTACCAAAGGTAGTAGCGGAAAAAAAGAGAAAGTACGTAGAATTAGCTGAAGAGATCAAACTATTGTATCATTTAAAGGAAACTCGAATTCTGCCAATTGTAATCTCATGCAACGGACTGATACCGGAAGCAACTCTATCTGCTCTGCGACAACTAGAACTACCATCTCAGATGATCGAAAGAATGCAATAAGCGGTATTGTTGGGAATAGCAAGTATAGTCAGGAAGTTCACAAATATTAAATAATTATGAAAATATATAAATGTAATTTTTGGCTGACCTAATAGGTCCCATAATATTATAAACACCATTGTATATGTGGAAAATAAAGAGATAAAAATTATTATTATATATTTTATTAATAATTATTTAATTTATTTATTAATAATTTTTTACCTTTGACTTCAAAGGCTTCACATTCCATTAGTAGCACTTTTCAAATTAGGAGGTTTTTAAGCTTACTCATCAAGTCTGCTGATATGGTTTACCATTTGACCAATGGGCTATTATTTATAATAGCCCAGTCAAATTAGCACAGAAAAAATTTACCTTGCAAAAGGTCGGGTAATTCAAATTTCTTTTTTATATTCTTAGGTATGTACTGAATATAAAAAATCCAAGTTTCCGCCCTTTAATGCCTTGTGGAACCACTGCAGTGCTTCATAACCATTGAAATTTCGAACATTTTTGGGTTTATGCTAAATATCTCCTTTTTAAAGTGAAATAGATAAAAATGGTTCAATCTTAAACAGCATAAAATTATTGAACATTTTTTTCTAAACCTAACAGGAAGCTAACTATCGAGCTTTCAAAATGGGTTAAGTATTGAAAAAAAAATTACAATTAAATTATTATATTAATAATTTGTTCCTTAATACAATCATTATAGCACACTATAACTTAAACATTTATGAATACTTAATGAGGTGCCATAGGACTCTGGAGGCCTATGCCAGTTCCACTTTTCTGCCGATTGAGTGTATTTTCTAAGTAACTGCTTCAAATACTTTAAAAAGTAATCAGTGTTTTATAAAGTGAAATGCATTCTTGAGATGTCTTATTTCAGAGCGGTTTTCCTTATTGTTAGCCGTTTATTCACAAAAGACGCTTGATTTTTAACTTTAGTTTGAACAACTTGAATTTACTGGTGTTTTTATTGCCCAGGCCAATTATTTTTAAATATTTTTTTCATGATTTCCAATTTCCTAACTATCCAGCTTCAATAAAAGGCCAATTATGGAGAAATTAAGCCAAATGCTGAAACTCAGTGACCAAAAAACTAACTGAAGTCAAAGACGTCAATCTGCTATATTTGAACACCATTTTGGGACAGTGCGACCTTTTTTTTGTGCAAATATGGGTTTTTATTCAATAAACAATTACAAGGAACATAACTATATGCAATTTATTGGGGTGTGCAGGGAGGGTGCATCGTAGGGGGGTCTGGCCCACCATGTAACTTACTATTCAAAACACCTCCCGACTACCATCTACCGTTCCAGTCAATGGCTCATTATCTTCAAGGAAAACCTTCAAATTCTCTGAACGATGTCCTTTAAATATAATTTTAAATTTACTAATTTTTACAATAGAAAAATTCATTTTATATTATAATTTTGATTTTTTATTAATTAGGTATGAATATAAATCAACTATAAAATTATATTTTGCCTAACATTATAAGTAAAAAAGGAAGCTTATATTGCCTCAGTGTTACATCATTAACTTAAATGACCCCAGGATACCTGTAATAGCAGGATAACCCCTAGCTCCACCAGCAGGTCCTATTCTGGCTGTAAAAGTGTCTTCATTTTGAATGATTGCGGGTGACCAAGGATGAAGAGAGTCTTCTTTCTCTCCTGAAGTAGGGAATGTGGCAACACACTGCCTGTCATCTTTGCTTCCAAAATCAATACGAATATCCTCTGATTTAAACAAAAATAACAGATAATATTACTTCACCATATATTTCAATTTTTATCAGTTATTACAAGGAATGTATTTATTCCACATATTAATACTAATATATCTACAAATAAAAAATATATCACCAAAGTTGAAGCTCTAAATTATTCATTTTATTTTTCATTTAAAATTGTTTTTTTCTAATTTGGATGTTGTTTTTTCTTATTAAAGATAAATTTATCAACAAGCAAAATATTGTTTTATCTTGAAAATAAGTGAAGTTATTAACACCTTTGCAGAGTAAAACTTGATTTTATAATAATGATTAATATTATTTCAAATTAATAATATAAAACTCAATTTTAGAATTATTTGAGAACTATTAAATTTTGATAATAAAAGGTTTTAGGAATTGTATATAATATGGCTATTCTGGTAAATTTATAAATTAAAAGTTTTTATCTAGCTAATATTCCAGGAACCATATCGTTGGTATATTGCAAAAAGTCATTAATTGACATTTCATAATCTTGAATCACTTAGAATTTTGATAAATTTTCCCTTTGTAAAATCAAAATATTGTGTGCTAGTTGTTTGATTCATAAAAAAGGGTTTGTGCCATTTTAGTGTTGTTTTTTTATTCACTAGATAAGGTCAAAATTAACAAAAACTTTCTTAAAAGTTAAGCTCCATCAGAAATATACTTAGAGACTTTTTTCAATAAACCGACGAATTTTCAATGCAGAATTTATAAAACTGGTCTAATATATTATAAAAAAATTTAGATTACATTCACTGAGTTTCAAAATTAATTGAATAGAATACATACCATTATTTTTGTCCCTAACTCCATGAGCGTAAGCTTCTTTACGAGAGCTGAGTGGTCCTATTGCTGCTATCACATAAGTATCTCCTGATGAAGGAATAGGCTTATCATTGATTGGTTCGTTCGTATGAAGTGGGCGCCGATAAACAACTTTTGTTACACCCATATGTCTCTCTCCAGATAATAATTCTACATCATTCCTACCTCCTATTCTTTCATCAGGGCAAACACCATTTTTTCCTAAAATACAAAATAATACAATAAGTAAATTTAGCAAACAGAAAAACAAAAATTCAGCAGAAATTACAAAAAAAGATAAGTTTTTTTATTACCATCACATTGTGATGTTGCTGACATAAAATAATCAATAGCGTGAAATCGCTGAGTGTCAGAATCAAAATATGCCACAACGACATCTCCTCCTACCATTGAAGACCTGAAAGAACGATTGATTAAATGTACAATTTTCAGCTGTCCATTATCCAATAAACATACAAAGAGAGCTGGAAAGAAATATTTAGTTAGAAATAGATAAGGAATTTGAAGTTAAGAAGCAGAGTGAGGAACACAAGGAAGTAAGGATATACACTTAGGTTTATTCTTTGAAATGGGGAAAAAGAAGATTTTTTTTGCCAGAAAATGAGAAAAAAAATAGCCTTAATAACTTGGTACACCAGCAATTTAAGGATTTATAAATGATTTCAGAAATATGATTACTCTAATATTGATTAGTTGAAAAACAAATTGTCATAGTTATGCAACATAGATCCAACCCCACAATTTCATTTGTGATGAGTAGTTTATGAAATATTCAAGCAGTCTTTGCACTTTTTACAGGTGAAAAAAAAAAAGCGGAAAGACTGCTTGAATCTCTTTTACAATTGTAGCCTGTTGCATGAACAACTCAACACAATCAAAATTGAGGATTAGACCTTTTTTCCATAACTTTGGCCAAATGAAATATTGAATTGTGGACTTTATGAAGTTACAAATTGTAATACCTATATTTTTCACCACTGATTCCAAAAGATACATATTGGTCTTCCCTCATTCTTGCAGACAATGTCACCTGAAGCCATTCTCCTTCTATCCTCCATTGAACTTGTACTCGGTCATCCAGAAGATCACGGCAATTTGTCTCTACTGCAGGGCTTTCACTGCTTGTCTGTAAAAATATTGTTGAAAGAAAAATTTATTCACTGTATTTTATAAACATTAATCTTTTCTATACATTTCATACCTATAACTGAGCAGGAGCTGAATTTATAATCTATTATTTTATAAAGACATTGAGTTCATTTTATTTGTTTCTTATTCAACTGATTGGATTAAGGGTGATGATGTTTCATAGTAATTTATCATTTTTAAAACAAATAAACATTAACATTTAATATTTTTGTAAGAAATGAGGTTGTGATCTTTCTCCCACTTATGGTGCCCTCGGACTCTATGGAGGGGAAACTGTAAGAAATGGAAATGGACAACGCCATATTGACTTCTGCATAGACAATGATATGCTGGTGGGAAATTCCTTCTTTCCCCACAAAATAACTTTCTGGAGGAAAGAAACAGCATTATAGACTATTTCATATATGACCATGCCATAAGAAACTATTATACCGATATAAAAGTTATAAGAGGCGCTGAAATTGGCAGTGATCATCTGCTGCTGATAGCCGATACCAAAATTCCACATAAACGGCCAATTAAACAAAAGAGCTACCAGGCAGTCAACATAAGAGCTCTAGACGATCTAGAAAAGAGAACCTCCTATACCGAAAAACTGGAAGAAAAATTAAGAACCATGAGTAGAGAAGGGGAAGCAGAACAACATTGGTGCTGCTTAAAATCGTGTATCGTGGAAACTGCAAGGGAAGTTTGTGGCTTACGCAAAATATCTAATAAACAAAAGCGCACAGAGTGGTGGAATGAGGAAGTACAATGTTTAGTCCAATCAAAGAAGGAAGCATGGAAAGCTTATCATCAAGAGAAAACAACCGGAAAACTAGACGAATATCACCAAGCCAGAAATTAATGCAAAATAGCAGTCTGGCAAGCGAAAAGAGAGTCATAGAAAAGATTCGGAAAAAGTCTCGATTTCGGGAAAGAATTAAGAAGTTCTGGTGTAAAGTAAAGATATTAAGAGGAAAAATAAGTAAGCCAGTGAGAAATGTCAAAAACTCTAGTGGCAGCATGGTCACCGAAGAAGAAAAAATTCTTGAAGGGTGGAAGGAGTTCTATCAGAGACACTTCTCAGGAGGAGGACACGCTGACCCAGAAGAACATCTGGTAGAAAATAGTATTCTGGAAAGTCTAGAAGTCATTGAGGAAGATGATATAGAATATGCCATCCAAAGAATTAAAATAGGTAAAGCAAGCAGGCTTTCATCCAGGGAGGCTGACTCAAGATCACATTTTTGTGCTAAGAAGCATCACAGAGAAAGTATGGGACAGAGACAAGAATATATATATGGCATTTCTGGACCCAAAGCAGCATTTGACTCTGTTCCAAGACAAGAAATATGGGATGCTTTCGTGGCAAAAAATGTTGCAGCTGATCTTATAACGGTAATTAGATCGGGTTATAAGACAGCAAAAGGAATTGCAAAGACTAATGGTAGAGAGGCCAATCCTTTTCCTATGGAGAGAGGAGTTAGGCAGGGAGACAGTCTAAGTCCCTTCTTGTTCACCATATTTATGGATGAAATCCATAAAATTTGTAAGCGTCGTACTGCTTGGACGGTCATTGGAAAATGAAACCCTGTGGAATATTATGGTCCAAAGCCTACTATATGCCGATGACATCATTCTGATTGCGGACACGAAAGACAAGCTGCAGCAGGCCCTTGTAGAATGGCAGGAAGAACTCTTCTGCAAAGGTATGATTATCGATAGCTCCAAAAGCAAAGTCCTAGTCATATCAAGAGATGAACAAGAGGACATCCAGCTGATCTGTAACGGGGAGGTACTTGAAGTTGTGCAAGAATTCACCTACTTGGGCTCAATTATCAGCAATAAGGGGAAGATTGTTCCAGAAGTAGTGAATAGGATATCCAAAGCCAAACAGGTATATTACCCTATCAGCAACAGTATAGTAGGGCACAGGGAAGTTGGCAAGGAAACAAAAAGGCACATATACAAGTCGGTATACCTCCCAACCCTCACCTACGGAAGCGAAAGCTGGATTATGCTAGACAAGCAATTCAGCCGTGTGACAGCAGCTGAGATGAAGTTTCAGTGGAAAGCTGCTGTAAAGACCAGGAGAGACCACCTCAAAAATTAACGCATAAGAGAGGACCTGGAGGTGGCGGAGCTAAGGACATTACTGGAAAACCGACAGTTGAAGTGGTTTGGCCACTTTTGTCGGATGGAGGAGGAGAGAGATCCGCGGAAGATTCTGGAAGCTCGACTCACTGGGAGGAGGCCGAGGGGTTGCTCCAGAATTTCATATCAGGACTATATGCAGCGGATTGGAGAGAAGAGAGGCAAAACCCTCCAGGAAACGAGGCGGTTTAGTAGGGACTGAGAGGCATGGCTGCATTGGATAGAGGCTCCTCGACACTAGTAATGGAGCGAAGAGGAAGACAAAGAAGAAGAAGAAGTAATCAATGAACTGTCATTGGTTTCAAAATAAAATGAATTACAATTTTATTGCAAAAACAATAATCTCAAAAAAAAAATTTTCTTAGATAATGCATAATATCCATTATAACCATGCAAAAAGATAATCTTAGTGTAAATTTACTATCCTTTGATAAAATGTGACGTCATCCAATAGGAACAACCACTTACAATTAGTGCAAGCTTCTGTATCTGTTACCTAACAATTGCTTCTCAGGGGCTATTATAGCATTGATTCAGATGTACACAGGTTCTTTGGCTTGATCCAAAAATACTTTTTAAAGTATAAAATTACCATAAACCATTCCAGTCCTTCTCAGACTTTTTACTATGAAAGATGATGAAGATACTTAGATGCTAACACTATTTCCTAGGATATTCCATTTTGTCAGAAAGACAAGTCATCTCAAGTATCCAATTTATTTTTTTAGTTGATAAGTTTCTGTAAGTTCCTTTCAACATCAATTTTTTTTCTTATACAATAATTCTAAGATCCTTCATGCAATTTGTAGTAGAAGGCCTACAGTATTTACTCCTTTATGTGACATTGAGTGAGGGAATGAGAAAGAATGTACAGGAATGTCGGGTTGTACTATAAATTGCACTCAATTATGCAGTGGACAAGTTGTTTATTGGAAAGTATCAAATCGATAAACAATCAATGAAAAAGGTACAAAACAAAGAAAGGAAGAAGCCTTGAGAAGTGCCGGTCTATATGTGGCAGCAGCTGGAGAAGGACACAGGAGAACAATGATAAGCTCACTTTATTTATATATATATAATATGTATTCTTATTAATATATTCTTATTAGTGTTATAAAAGCATTAGGTTCCCGAATTCCCAACAACAGTAAACACCCTCAAAGAAGTTTATATCCAGTGCTGGAGTTTTGTTTTAAGAAAATTAATTTCACGACTGTAAATAACCCAGACTCCTGACAAAATGGAAGGCTATTGTACAATTGTCCCCCGAACAAGGTTATTTACAATTGCCGTCCAACAGCCAATGAGAAAGAAAAGGAATATATGAAGGCGGACACAATAGACAACAGTCATTGGAAGTTAAAATTGGGGAATTAATTTTTGAGAGAGTTTCCAAATTTGTATATCTAAAGTCTCTCAGGTGAATGCAATTAATATAATGCAACCAGGTATTAATAAGGCTTATGAAAGTTAAAAGGCACTATTTCAGTTTGCATAAACATCTCAGAAGGAAACATTACCTTGGGCTATGAAATATTGGTTATACTAGACACAAATCAGACCAATATTAGCGTTTGAATCTGTTGGTACATCACCAAATGCCAGGATGAATTTTCAGATGAATCCTTGAACCAATATCCACTGATAACTAAAGATGGCAGAGAAGGGATAAGGAAACCAAGCTTAAAGATGGTAATGTGGTCACAGTTCAATTTATCAAAGTTAAAAAAACTTCGCTGGGCCAGACATGGAACCCAGAAGACATTCTAATATAGTTGTTAGAAGAAATGTTTTGTACAACTAAAAATTGAGGCTCAGATGGTAAAATTCAGTGAATGAGGAACTTAAAAAAATCCTTGGTCTCAGAAAAAGTGACTGGTGATTTAAACTGCAGGAGGCCTTGACTCAACATCAGTTGTAGTTTTGGTTTAGTAAGTTTAAAACCCATTTATTTTGTGGCATATTTTCTTTTCAATTAAACACAAATAATCAGCAATATTCCTGAAATGTATTAAAAAAAAATCATATATTTTAATTATTCCTCTCTCTGGCTTTCATTTACTTTGAATTCTCTGTATGAATGAATATTTTTTCATGTAAAAAAATTATGGAGTACTTTTCCCACTTATTTTCTTGTAAAGGAAATAAAAATAATAAACTAAATACAGCATATTAGGGTCAGATTTCATAACCATCTTCCTGGAAGATAGTAAACTATCAAATTTAATTCTTTATAACCTATGCTTTCTCGTAAACCTGAGCAGACTCATATATCAGAATATTTTCTTGCATGGAAGTCTGTTAAAATCAAAAGCTTGTGATACAGGAAATATAAGCAAGAAAAATAGATGGATTAACCACATCAACAACATTGCTAGGTAGAAATTCTCAAGTCATGTATCAGATGAAAAAAAAACAACAGTATTTGTGTACAATTTTAGAAACAGAAGATTATGAAACTTGAAGATGGAAGATGTGTTGGGAAAAATTACTTTCTTATTTATTAATTGTCTAAATTTGATAAGTATTTTGTTAATCTAATAGGTTGTAAATGATAAATAAATGTAACAATAATGGTGGCAACATTGGTTCAGATAAATGAGGAGTATGGGCATCCTTGGCTTGGGTCTGTTCGCTATTGGTGTCCATTTGATTAACATAGCATCTCGACTGTTTTGTTTTAATATCCCACGATCCTACAATGAGATGAAAGAATTTTCAGATGGCAGAGATGACTAAAGGTTATTTTTGAAATATTCCAGCTCCAAATCAGAGTCATAGAATTCAGTGATAAGTCATCATACTTTGTAGTATTGTTGATAATACTTTGTTAACATGGAAAATACATTTCTGAAC